AAGGCTTGGCGGCAGAAAATAATTACTTTTGTTCAGTAGAATGTCGTAATAGGCTGCTACTACTACTAAAATGATTAAAACCGTATTTTTAAGGAATAATCATACAATATTTCTTCAATGTTTTAATTGTAATATTAAATGACCTTTATTTTCCAAAAAATTAAATTTGTTTAATTTTCATTAGGCCCTACTTAAAAGATAGATTAAATGAATGTTTATGCCTTAAAAAATGTAAATACACAACACAGAATTTCTGAGCAAAAAATCATAAGGCTATTGTAAGAATAAATGTTTATGCCTTAAAAAATGTAAATACACAACACAGAATTTCTGAGAAAAAAATCAAAAGGCTATTGTAAGAATAAATGAAACTTGTTTTTATGCTTTCAAATAATTAGACATGCTAAAACAAAATTCGGTAACAATAAAGCATAAAGTTGGGAAAAATAAATAATAAATAAATAAATTTCATAGGGCCCTAAACATGTAATTTTGTTAACTTTTTAATAAATTGATGTTACATTTTTAAGTTTCATGATTTGAATTAATTAGACATGCTTTTTGATTAATAAAATTTAATTTAACTATTAAAAAGGAGTCCAGAAAAAAAAAACGGAAGCCATAAATAAACGGAAGCCATAGTACAAGTCATTGGTGTTTGGTGATGAGTGTTCCCCCCCCCCGCCCCCCACCCCCCCAAAAGCCATAAACCTAGGGGAAACACTCGTCACCAAACACCAATGCCTTGTACTTACACTATATGGACAAAAGTATTGGGACACACATCTCTGTTGCAACAGTTTTGGAAGTGTCTAAAATGACTGTACCCATATGTACAAGTCATTGGTGTTTGGTGATGAGTTTTTGGCTCAAGGTCTGCATTTAAAGTCACACCAGAGGTGTTCAGCTGGGATTAGGACTTGGCTTTATGCAGACCAGTCAAGTTCTTCCACACTGACTGAATCAATCAATAATTTATTTTTTAACCGTGCCTTATAGACAGAGGCATTGTCATGTTAGAATAGAAAATGGT